AAAAAACTATAAAAAAGGTACCCGGGGCATTTCATGGGGCCCCCTACTGACCCTGTGCCCCCAGACAGTGCCCAAGTGCTCAAATGGTCAGTCCTCCCCTGGCCTGACACTATCTGGCACTTTGTGGGAACCAGTGACACTAATACAGTGATCAGTGCTAAAAATATATACTGTCATTGTATTAATGACACTGGCTGGGAAGGGGATAAACACCTAGGGTGATCAGAGGAATAACTGTGTGCCTAGCCAGTGTTTATGTGTACACAGTGGGCTGTTTTTAGGTAATGTGCTGGATTTTATTCCCTGCCTTGCAGAGAAAGATAACCCAGCACATTGCCACTGACAGGACACAACTCAGCCTTGTTTACATAAGCAGAGCTGTGTTCTGTCTCTTCCCCGCACAATCAGCATGTGCCGGCGGACATCCCTTTTCCAGCACATGCTGATAGGCTTTTGCTGGGACTAATCATAGCAGAAGCTGTGCGCCGGCAGCATACATGCCTCCTAAAGAAGAGAGTGCAAATGCCTGTATATACAGTCAGGTCCATAAATATTGGGACATGGACACAATTCTAACATTTTTGGCTCTATACACCACCACAATGGATTTGAAATTAAATGAACAAGATGTGCTTTAACTGCAGACTGTCAGCTTTAATTTGAGGGCATTTACATCCAAATCAGGTGAATGGTGTAGGAATTACAACAGTTTGCATATGTGCCTCCCACTTGTTAAGGGACCAAAAGTAATGGGACAATTGGCTTCTCAGCTGTTTCATGGCCAGGTGTGTGTTGTTCCCTCATTATCCCAATTACAATGAGCAGATAAAAAGTCCAAAGTTCATTTCAAGTGTGCTATTTGCATTTGGAATCTGTTGCTGTCAACTCTCAAGATGAGACCAAAGAGCTGTCACTATCAGTGAAGCCATCATTAGGCTGAAAAAACAAAACAAACCCATCAGAGAGATAGCAAAAACATTAGGCGTGGCCAAAACAACTGTTTGGAACATTCTTAAAAAGAAGGAAAGCACCGGTGAGCTCAGCAACACCAAAAGACCCGGAAGACCACGGAAAACAACTGTGGTGGATGATCGAAGAATTCTTTCCCTGGTGAAGAAAACACCCTTCACAACAGTTGGCCAGATCAAGAACACTCTCCAGGAGGTAGGTGTATGTGTGTCAAAGTCACCAATCAAGAGAAGACTTCACCAGAGTGAATACAGAGGGTTCACCACAAGATGGAAACCATTGGTGAGCCTCAAAAACAGGAAGGCCAGATTAGAGTTTGCCAAACGACATGTAAAAAAGCCTTCACAGTTCTGGAACAACATCCTATGGACAGATGAGACCAACATCAACTTGTACCAGAGTGATGGGAAGAGAAGAGTATGGAGAAGGAAAAGGAACTGCTCATGATCCTAAGCATACCACCTCATCAGTGAAGCATGGTGGTGGTAGTGTCATGGCGTGGGCATGTATGGCTGCCAATGGAACTGCTTCTCTTGTATTTATTGATGATGTGACTGCTGACAGAAGCAGCCGGATGAATTGTGAAGTGTTTCGGGAATATTATCTGCTCATATTCAGCCAAATGCTTCACAACTCATTGGACGCTTCACAGTGCAGATGGACAATGACCCAAAGCAGACTGCAAAAGCAACCAAAGAGTTTTTGAAGGGAAAGAAGTGGAATGTTATGCAATGGCCAAGTCAATCACCTGACCTGAATCCGATTGAGCATTTCACTTGCTGAAGACAAAACTGAAGGGAAAATGCCCCAAGAACAAGCAGGAACTGAAGACAGTTGCAGTAGAGGCCTGGCAGAGCATCACCAGGGATGACACCCAGCGTCTGCTGATGTCTATGCGTTCCAGACTTCAGGCTGTAATTGACTGCAAAGGATTTGCAACCAAGTATTAAAAAGTGAAAGTTTGATTTATGATTATTATTCTGTCCCATTACTTTTGGTCCCTTAACAAGTGGGAGGCAAATATGCAAACTGTTGTAATTCCTACACCGTTCACCTGATTCGGATGTAAATACCCTCAAATTAAAGCTGACAGTCTGCAGTTAAAGCACATCTTGTTTGTTTCATTTCAAATCCATTGTGGTGGTGTATAGAGCCAAAAATGTTAGAATTGTTTTTGATGACCCAATATTTATGGACCTGACTGTACATGGGATTTTTCTTAGATCGACCACCCTGTGGCAGTACATCTATTATAGGGCGGTCCTTAACTGACTATAGAAAATACAGGGTAATGACGTTTGTTGCCATTTCATGGGCGCACACAATTTTACGGTTTGTCATGTTGGGTATCTATTTACTCGGTGCAACCTGGTCTTTTATATTTTATCAGAAATTGGGAAATACATTGTGTCTGTGTGCCTTAAAATTATCTTTAGTGTATTTTGTACTGAAATTTTGTTTTTCCTAAACCGGTGCACTAATATTGTGTGACATAAAAACATTGGAGCTGCCACCATTTTATTTTTCCTACTTTTAGAAAATACTGTATATAATTTTTGGGAGTTTTATATAATCTTTAGGAATAAATTATTTTTTAAACATTGCAAAAAAACGCACAAAATGGTTCTGGAAGTGAAGCAGTTCATAATAATCAATACCAATCACTCCATATGAAGCTTTTCTGTCCTCTGCTTATCTCTCTCAAAAATGTAAATGGATTAGACAGAAAAATTTACATTTTTTGATTCTCCTACATTTATACATACAGAGTTGTGCAATCTGAATATAAAATAAATGATTGATGATTCTCTGGATTATTAGGACAGGGGATTCTTTTCATATCGGAGGAGACATTGCAGGAGAACCAAAAGTGAAGAATAATGCAGGCCATAGACGGTTTGTTTATCGGCCAAATTTTCATCCGAAAGAATAATAGGCCGATTTTCGCACCGTTAGTGGGGCAATGTCATCGATCTTTTATTGATCATGCTGGAAAATTTGCGAAAAGCGGCCGATTTTTGCAATCATTGGTGGCAACAGAGCGACAGATTTTAGTTTTTCGGGCAAAAAATCGGCCGATAAATGAACCGTCTATGGCCTGGATTAGTGATTCTCCTGGTTCGTTCATTTATAGAAAGGCTTCTTCTGTATATAGTAATCTGTGAATTTTTGTCTTCCATTAAAAGCTGCACAAATATGTGAGAAAAGTTCACTTCATGGACCTAACAAAAGGCGAGATCTACTTTAACGAGAGAAGAGAAATTCCAACCGATCTTCTGTTACACCACTGGACTGTGAATGATACAAACTTATATTATGCCACAGTTTCCATTATTAAAGGCCCAGATTATGTGCCCGAAAAGTTTCCAAATCTGAGTATGTCCTGGTTGTGGAAAAATGGCAAAGTAAGAAATGACTTGATTGTTTTCTGTTTATATATGTAGCTCTACCTCCACAGGGGCCGCTTATAACGCTTGTCCCCAGTGGTTGCCCTGACCTTGCAAGCCTCCCGACACCTCTGTGCCCAAGCTCCGGTGGTGTGGGCGAAACATGTCAGGGGGCCTGGATTCAGGGCCTTCTTTAAGGAGGGGCAAAAGTCATTGTTGTGGGGCCCAAAGCAGCTGCCCCATGCTTGCCAACTGTCTTGGTTTACATTCTCTTGAAGTCTTAAACCCGCATTGTGTCCTGATGTCAGTGTGAAGTGCTGACACTTATTCTGCCCAGCGCTGCCCCTATTGCCATGTACAGATGACTCCCCTGTGCAGGAGGTGACGGTATTCACATGTAAATAACCGGCATTCATATGTAAATAGAGGTGGCAATGTGGCATTCATATGAATAATATGCCCCCCTGAGGTTCCAGCCGCCATCACCTCTGCTGAATGCTGCCCACTAGGAAGGTAAAAAGGGACATATTGGTGGGTCCAATCCCCTTCTCAGTCCATGGTGTGCAGGCAGTGAAAAGATGATGTGCTGTGAACAGCAATAATGTGCAGTAACCTCTAGCAACCAATCAGTGAACAGCAGTGATCTATTGTAATCTTTCTGAACCAATCAGTGAGCAATAATTATGTGCAAAAAATAATGACCCATAGTAACCGATCAGTGAGTGGTAATGAAGTGCAGTAGCCTCTAGCAACCAATCAGTGACCAGTAATCGCGTGCAGTAATCTCTAGCAACCAGTGAGTGGTAAGGATGTGCAGTAGCCTCTAGCAACCAATCAGTGACCAGTAATCACGTGCAGTAATCTCTAGCAACCAGTGAGTGGTAAGGATGTGCAGTAACCACTAGCAACCAATCAGTGAACAGTAGTTATGTGCAGTAATCACTAGCAACCGATCAGGAAGCAGAAATCATGTGCTGTAACCTCTAGCAACTAATCAGTGAGCAGTAACGTGTGATGTAAGCTCTATCAACCAGTCGGTGAGAGGTAATGATATGCTTTAATCTTTGCCAACCAATCGCAATCGCTGCCTGATCTGTTGCAATAAACAGCTTTTGAGTCTAGCTGCTATTTATTGTATGTCTCAGAGCAGGTGGAGAATGAAATTGCATGGGGGGACCCAAGAAAATGTTTGTTCAGGGTCCATTCAGTATTAATTACGGCCCTGCCTGGATGGAACGGCACTGGCTGAGTCCACACTCGTCCACATATTCATGGCTTGGGTCAATGAGCGGTGCTTCTTCCATCCTCTGATGATGCTCCTGCACCCCTGAATGGTGCATAGGACTATGCTCCCTTCACTGCAACCAGCAGGGAGATCCTTGTATCAGCTTAGAACAGGACAGCATGTTATACCTATACCTCCCGACATCTGACACTCGGGGTTCAGACATATTTCAACAGTATAGAACTGTATTTATCAACCTGTTTCCAGTCAGGGCACCCTTGAAAAGTAATTTTAGTGTTGATGTATCCCAGTCTAAGGCTTGGTTCCCATTACTGCTGTCAGTAATACATGCAAAATTTTTGCATTTCCTGTCATGCAGACAAACACACTGCTCTTTAGCAGATGCACAGGGGTGCCATTAACCCCCCTGGCGGTATTTCCGAGTGTAGCTCGGGGTAAAGTTTCAGTACCAAAAGCAGTAACCCCCCTGAGCTACACTCGGGCTTACCATGCGACGCTGCTCCGGGATCCCTCGATCACTTACCTTGTCCTGCGCTCCCGCGATGTCCCTCCTGCAGTGTCCCCGGCAATGTAATCCGGCCGATACCGGCATCTGTCTTCCGGGTTCCATTCCCTGTGACGTCGGGATGTACGGGGGGGACGGAACTGGCGGGAAATTTGAAAATGACAAAAAGTGACATTCACTAAAATCACTAAAATCACATAGTATAACATTCCTGTATCAAACCATTTCACATACATTTTGTCCCGAGTGCTTTGTCCGGCGCCCTGCCTGCATTTTTACTGTTCTTTCTGCCTGGAAACTGAGAAACGTCCATGGCGTCCAAAAAGCGTCCCTTTAGGTCAGACGCGGTTTTAGACCGGCTAGAGAACAGCGATAGTAAATCAGAACCACTTGCAGAATTGAGTGATAATGATTCGTGGGGGAAATTCCTCATCAGACACTGAAAAGGATTCTGCGACTGAGCTCAGCGATGTGCGAACTTGGCGCTCTATTTCACATTTCAGTGTTTTTGGTTTTATTATATTATTGAATTAAATGTATTATTATTATATTATTATTTTTTATGATTATTTATTATATTATAATTTATGATTTCGTGTTTCAAATTTTATCCTCCCCGGGATGTTTACTAGACTCTTGTTCGGACAGATTTCAGTGAGTTATTCCTAAAATTACAGGCCTACAATAAAAAAAATACATATTTCCATGCAAAACAATGTACCACTTTGAGCACAGAAATATGGACATAATCAGAGCGCTTAGGAGGTTAATTCTTAATAGTACCCCCACACCTTGGTAAATGCCATGTATTTTTGGTGCAGTCACAGAATACCAGAACATTTGGGCTTTTAAAGCACCAGGTATCAACTATGACAACTATGTATCAACATACATACAAATGTTTATTTTTTACACAATAAAAAAAGATTATACATAAAACACATTAAAAAGGAAAATGAATCATTAATATAGGTGCACCCAAAACAAATATCCAACCCTCTATAACCGTATTATACTTGTAGATCAAGATAGTCAAATGTTCTGTCCAAGAAAGGACCATATACAGTACTATATCTTATACAAAGAGGGGGGAGAAGAGGATCACCAATGAGCTTTACGCATTTTGCGGTCCAAGCCGCTTCATCAGAAGTACAGATCAGAATCTATTACAATCTATAAAACAATCAACAGTAAGTGTATATAAATACAAAGTATAACAACATAGATAGAAATATACATCTTCTCTTTACCACTTCATTATCTTACCTAAGATGCATGTGACTATTCAGGCATAACAAAGTCAGCCCAAGACCCCACAGTGAGGGAGAGACATCCCCAGAACCACGTGCCACCCCCAAAGCGAGACCACTGGAGCATACTAGGACAGAAGGGGCCACCATCCCATCAGCCTCCAACATTTTCAATGTATCCTACATGATTGTATAAATATACAGTATGCAGCAGAATACTATGATAAGTGCATCCCTAATTATAACACCAACACTATGTAATACCACTTGCACCCAGTCTCTGGAGTTAATTACCAACAATGTCTACACCAAATTCATTTGTAATATCCCCTAAATCAAACCGAATTCCATTGCTGACTGTTAGCAACTGACCATATACATTATCTATAATAAATTACAAGTAATATAATTATCTAAGGCCCACAATGGGGACACCCATTGTTTTTTTTTTTAACCTCCCAGCTCAAGTGAGGGTAGCAGTTTCCATTTTTTTGTTTTACACATAGGTCATGCAAGCAGTATAAGTCATGTGGATACAGAACTTGGAGACTAGCCAATGTAATACTTGTTATGGGATACATATTATACTGTATGTGATTGTCTTTCTTTTTATTTATATTTGGGTGCATGGGGTGTTCAGTAAAGTGTCTGGGTTTGATCCTACCAGTGTGGGGCTTCTTGGTGCTGTGTACTGTCTCCTGCTTGGTGGGCCAATCGGGCACCCAATGCTTGGGATGGTTCAATTATCCACCCCTCTGCTTAGTTGATCGGCATATGTGCCCTATTGCCTAAACAGGAAGTGACAACACCAGCGCCATTTGATGATGCCAGTGGGTGGACTATTCTGGGAGTATATATTGGCCAATCCTGGGCTTCATTTCTTCGTTTTTTGGACTATGTTCCATGTGATGGTGGTAGTGGTAGTTGAAAATATTCCTGGTATATGGTATGTATATCTTAGAACTTGTTGTCCCTGGGGTTTGATGGTAATCATATACTGTATTTTCTATATTAGATTAGGGGTCAAGTTATTATTGTATTGCTGGACTTTTGACGTTGGGTTAAAACCATGGGCATGCCCAATGCGAGCCTTAGATAATTATATTGCTTATAATTTTACAAATAATGTACACTACTCCAAAAGTTAAAAAACACTTTGAAAACACATCAGATCTCAATGGGGAAAATATCATGCTGGATATATATACTGATATGGACGGGGTAATGTGTTAGGAACGTAAGGAAACCCCATCATTTGATGGAAATGAAAATAATCAACCTACAGAGAACTGAATTCAAAGACACCCAGAAAATCAAAGTGAAAAAAATGATGCAGCAGGCGAGTCCATTTTGCTGACATTTCATTGCAGCAGCTCAGAATGGTCCTCAGTACTTTGTAAGGCCCCCACGTGCTTGTATGTATGCTTGACAACGTTGGGGGAGGCTCCTAATGAGATGAAGGATGCTGTCCTGGGGGATTTCCTCCCAGATCTGGACCAGAGCATTACTGAGCTCCTGGACAGGCTGAGGTGCAACCTGGCTGCGTCGGATGGACCGAAACATGACATCCCAGAGGTGTTTTATTTGGATTTAGGTCAGGTGAACGTGGGGGCCATTCAATGGTATCAATACTATCATCCACCAGGAACTGCCTGCATACTCTCGTCACACGAGGCCCTGCATTGTCATGCACCAGGAGGATTCCAGGACCCACCGCACCAGGAGGAACCCAGGACCCACTGCCCACCAGCACCAGTGTAGTCTAGCCTGTAGACGTCTGTATGTCCCTTCATAGATATGCCTCCCAAGACCATCACTGACCCACCACCAAAACAGTCATGCTGAATGATGTTACAGGCAGCAGAATGCTCTTCACTGCTTCTCCAGACCCTTTCACGTCTGTCACATGTGCTCAGGGTGAACATGTTCTCATCTGTGAAAATGCCAGTGGTGGAAATGCCAATTCTGGTGTTCAATGAAAAATGCGAGCTCTATGGTGCCGGGCAGTGAGAAAAGGGCCCACTAGAGGATATTGGATCCTTAGGCCACCCTCATGAAGTCTGTTTCTGATTGTTTGGTCAGAGACATTCACACCAGTGGCCTGCTGGAGGTCATTTTGTAGGGCTCTGGCAGGGCTCATCCTGTTCCTCCTTGCACAAAGGAACAGATACTGGTTCTGCTGATGGGTTAAGGACCTTCTACGGCCCTGTCCAGCTCTCCTAGAGTAGCTGCCTGTCTCCTGGAATCTCCTCCATGCTCTTGTCTCCTGTAATCTCCTCCGTGCTCTTGAGACTCTGCTGGGAGACACAGCAAACCTTCTGGCAATGGAACGTATTGATGTGCCATCCTAGAGGAGTTGGACTGCCTGTGCAACCTCTGTAGGGTCCAGGTATGGCCTCATGTTACCAGTAGTGACACTGACCCTAGCCAAATGCAAAACTAGTGAAAAACAGTCAGAAAAGATCAGTAGGAAACAAATGTCAGTGGCCTCCACATCGAATGCACCTGTTGTTAATTTCATTAACACCAAAGCAGCTGAAACTGATTATTAACCCCCTCTGCTACGTAACTGACCAGATCAATATCTTGGGAGTTTAATTGACTTGATGCAATACTCTGATTAAAAAGCCTTCCTTTAATTTTTTTGAGCAATGTACAGGTGAAACTCGAAAAATTAGAATATCGTGCAAAAGTTCATTTATTTCAGTAATGCAACTTAAAAGGTGAAACTAATATATGAGATAGACTCATTACGTGCAAAGCAAGATAGTTCAAGTCGTGATTTGTCATCATTGTGATGATTATGGCTTACAGCTCATGAAATCCCCAAATCCACAATCTCAGAAAATGAGAATATTCCATGCAATCAATAAAACAAGGATTGTACATAGAACAATATCGGACCTCTGAAAAGTAGAAGCTGCATATGTACTCAGTACTTGGTTTGGGCGCCTTTTGCAGCAATTACTGCCTCAATGCGGCGTGGCATGGAAGCTATCAGCCTGTGGCACTGCTGAGGTGTTATGGAAGACCAGGATGCTTCAATAGCGGCCTTCAGCTCTTCTGCATTGTTCGATCTCATGTCTCTCATCTTTCTCTATGGGGTTCAGGTCAGGCGAGTTTGCTGTCCAATCAAGCACAGTAATCCTACGGCCATTGAACCAGGTTTTGGTGCTTTTGGCAGTGTGGGCGGTGCCAAGTCCTGCTGGAAAATGAAGTCAGCATCCCCATAAAGCTGGTCTGCGGAAGGAAGCATGAAGTGCTCCAAAATCTCCTGGTAGACGGCTGCGTTGACCCTGGACTTAATGAAGCACAGTGGACCAACACCAGCAGATGACATGGATCCCCAAATCAACAAAGACTGTGGAAACTGCACACTGGACTTCAAGTATCTTGCAGTGTGTGCCTCTCCATTCTTCCTCCATACTCGGGGTCATTGGTTTCCAAATGAGATGCAAAAGTTGAGGACTTTGGACCACTGAGCAGCAGACCAGGTCTGTTTTTCTTTAGCCCAGGTAAGACGCTTCTGACTTTTGTTGTTCAGGAGCGACTTGACAAGAGGAATACGACATTTGAAGCCCATGTCCAGGATCCGTCTGTGTGTGATGGCTTTTGATGCACTGACTCCAGCCTCAGTCCACTCTTTGTGAAAGTACCCAACACTTTTGATTGGCCTTTTCCTGACAATCCTCTCCAGGCTGCGGTCATCCCTGCTGCTTGTGCACCTTTTTCTTCCACATTTTTCCCTTCCACATAACTTTCTATTAATGTGCTTTGATACAGCACTTTGGGAACATCCAACTTCTTTTGCAATTACCTTTTGAGGCTTTCCCTCCTTATGGATGGTGTCAATGATGGTGTCAGGTCAGCAGTCTTTCCCATGATTGTGATTCCTACTGAACCAGACTGAGAGACCATTTAAAGGCTCAGGAACCCTTTGCAGGTGTTATGGCTGAATTATCTGATTAGAGTGGGACACTTTGAGC